TGACTGCTTCGATATTTTAGTGAGTAGAAAAGTTTTAAGTCATGTCAAACATGTAGTTTATCTATTGTAATAAAATAATTAGACTTTCACAAATGACAGGGATTCATCCAACCATCATTTCGGAGTCATTCCAGAAGGCTTTGGAAAAGGGTATTGAGATCTTGACTGACATGTCTCGACCTGTGGAACTAAGTGACAGAGAAACTTTGTTAAATAGTGCAACCACTTCATTGAACTCCAAGGTGAGACAAGCACTAAAGATAGTTGTCAACTTAGTTTAAGGTGTGTTTCTTGGGCACTCATGTCACCTCTTTTCTGTCATGTCATACACACACCCCCATTCTTTTTCCTTTTCATTAGTATTAAATCCATACACTAATTATCTTTGAATGGTAAATGGAGAGTTAGATAGTATTAGGGACACTAAGTGATATTGTCGAATGTCCCCAGAACTAATAGAGATAGTATAGCATAATGGTTATGAACATTAGTCATAGAGTCTAAACTGTTTGTGTTTGTTCAGTGTTGGCTTTACTGCTTGACTAAGCTGTGTTACTTTGGGCAAATGATAACCTCTCGGATTCTATTTCTCCATCTGAAGATTGAATGAGTTAATATATGTAAAAGTGATAAGACCATTGCTTGGCATATAATAAATGTAGCAATTAGCTATTTTTACCAGCCGCTCATTATTAGGGGTGCACATACACAATATTGATACCTGATCACACATTCATATGTGTTCCCCTCTTTCTACCCCTGCCCTGCCCAAATAAAGTAATTAGAGCCCTTTTTTAATAGCTTTGTCATTTAAGAATTGAGATGTTTTTCCTACTGTGAAGGTAACTTTTTTTTTTTTATTAATTCTAGGTTGTCTCTCAATATTCAAGTCTACTTTCTCCAATGAGTGTAAATGCAGTGATGAAAGTGATTGACCCAGCCACAGCCACTAGTGTAGATCTTAGAGATATTAAAATAGTTAAGAAGCTTGGGTAAGCATTTCTAATTACAACTTTGATTAAAAATTTGAAAGCAGTTATAAGCTATTGCCAGAAATAAATAGGTTAAATGAAAAACACCTAGATGAAAGTCTTCTCTTTTCTCTTTTTGGTTTTGTTTTCGTGAGAACTTGTATTAGTATGGGAATCTCAAGATTTTGTTTATAAGGTAGTAGTGGATCAAAGAGGTCCGGGAATGGGGCAATAATAAATGTGAGGCTGAATCATGTTACTGGACTGATGCATTTTAATCTGTTAGTAATCTGTAAACTCCCAGATTTCCATCTCATCTTAACTACAACTTCTTTGTTTTCTTTTTTCTTAGTGGGACAATTGATGACTGTGAATTGGTGGAAGGGCTGGTTATCACCCAAAAAGTGGCAAATTCTGGCATAACCAGAGTTGAAAAGGCTAAGATTGGGCTTATTCAGTTTTGCTTATCTGCTCCCAAAACAGATGTAAGTAGAATCCAAATGAAATTGGTTCCTTATTTGTGTGTTTAACTTTCTAATAACTCAGGTTTTTTTTGTTTTTGTTTTTAAGATGGGGTTTTGGCCAGGTGCAGCAGCTCATGCCTGTAATTCTAGCACTCTGGGAGGCCAAGGCAGGAGCATTGCCTGAACTCAGGAGTTCGAGACTAGCCTGAGCAAGAAATAAATCCCATCTCTACCAAAAATAGAAAAATTAGCCAGGCATGGTGGCGCACACGTACAGTCCCAGCTACCTGGGAGGCTAAGGCAGGAGGATTGCTTGAGCCCAGGAGTTCTAGGTTGCAGTGAGCTATGATGACGCCACTGCACTCTAGCTGGGGTGACAGAGTGAGACTCTGTTTCAAAAAAAAAAAGAGATAAAGAGTCTTGCTCTCAGGCCAGGCGCAGTGTGGTTCACGCCTGTAATCCTAGCACTCTGGGAAGCCGAGGCTAAAGGTCAGGAGTTCGAGAACAGCCTGAGCAAGAGCGAGACCCCGTCTCTACTAAAAAAAAAGAAAAATAGAAAGAAATGATCTGGACAACTTAAAAAAGAAAAAAAAAGTCTTGCTCTCTTGCCCAGGCTGGAATGCAGTGGCACCATCATAGCTCACTGCAGCGTATTTCTGGCTTAAGCAATTCTCCTGCGTCAGCCACCTGAGTAGCTGGGACTATAGGTGGATGCCACCACAGCTGCCTAATTTTTCTATTTTTTGTAGAAATGGGTACTCACTTTGTTGCCCAGGCCAGTCTTAAACTCTTGGCCTTCCAAGGTGCTGGGATTGTAGACGTGAACAACGGCAGCTGGCTCAGATATTTCTTCATTAAAATAAAAATAGAAAATGTTGATACTAGTGGTTAAAAGCATAGATCTCAAAAGAGTTAGTAAAATTGAAACAAAAATAGAAATTGGTGCCACAGTGACAAATCTATAAAGAAATTGCTTCTTATTTAAGATACTCCCATATCTATTAGATGTTAAGTGCCAGTCTCTACAAGGGGTGGTTGTCGCCTCACTCAGATTTGCTCTCATTTTACATTGTGCTAGCATACGGGTTTCCTGTTTAGTAGTTTGTTTCTCAAAAGTTTGGCCCAATAAAAATTAATGTTGGCTGGGCACAATGGCTCATACCTACAGTCCTAGCACTTTGGGAGGCCAAGGTGGGAGGATCACTTGAAGTCAGGAGTTCGAGACCAGTCTGAGCAAGGGTGAGATTCCATCTCTACAAGAAACAAAAATTAGCCAGATGTGGTGGTGCACGCTGGTAGTCCCAGCTACTTGGGAGGCTGGAGGCAGGAAGATTGCTTAAGCCCAGGAGTTTGAGGTTGCAGCAAGCTATGATGATGCTATTGCACTCTAGCCCTGGGTGACAGAGTGAGACCCTGTTTCAAAAAAACAAAAAACAAATGTTTTATGTCTTTTATAACAAGATCTTCCTTGTCTTCTCAGCATACCACTTGTATAAAAAGCACACAACTGAAATTATTTCTGTAATACGTATATTGCTTATATGAAAAAGATTGACATTCAGGAAATAGGGTAATCATCTTTCATTTTTTGATTATCAAAAGTATACTTGCAAAAATTTAAGTAAGACAGCAGTGGATCTAGTTGAAAGTAAAAGACCCAAGTTTGGTTTATATATTTTTCCAGACCTTTTTCCATGCACGTCTATATAACTTATTGCCTGGTATGATTTTGGTTGTATTTATACATACATTATATTTTTACTTTAAAGTCTTTTAAAATCTCAAACAATGCAAATTATTATGTTCTTTCTTTAAACAGATGGATAATCAAATAGTGGTTTCTGACTATGCCCAGATGGATCGAGTGCTGCGAGAAGAGAGAGCCTATATTTTAAATTTAGTGAAGCAAATTAAAAAAACAGGATGTAATGTCCTTCTCATACAGAAGTCTATTCTAAGGTGTGGAGCTATTTATTTTGTTCATCCCTTAATAGTAATTAATTTTGGATCCCCACTAGCAATTTTTTAAGAAACATTTGAGGTGGGTAAACCACCAGAAATCTAGACTGAGTCTGCACTGTGAGGTGTCATTTTTTTTTTAATTTTCTGTTTTTTTTTATTTTGGATACATAATAGTTATGTATATTTATAGGGTACATGTGTTTTGATATACGCATGCAATTGTCTTGCTATTATCTATCTGAGATTCCAATTATATGACTTCAGATCTTTTGTAATAGTCCCACAGGTCGCAGTGGGTGGTGTCATTTTTTTTTTAATTTTCTGTTTTTTTTTATTTTGGATACATAATAGTTATGTATATTTATAGGGTACATGTGTTTTGATATAAGCATACAATGTGTATTAATCAAAAACAGGGTAATTGGGGTATCCATCACTTCATGCATATATCATTTCTTTGTTAGGAACATTCCAATTCTACTCTTCCAGTTTTTTTAAAGTATACTATAACTTATTGTTGACTATAGTCACTTTGGTGTGCTGTCAAGAGACCTCATTATATTTTGATAAAAACTAGGTTATTTTACCTTTATCATAATTTAAACGTGGGATGTGGTGTGATCTTTGTAGACCAAGGTGCTAAATGTCAAGCCTTGTTTTTACTTTTTTTTTTTTTTTTT